TCCCACAAAGTTGGGAGCATGAAATTGTCCAAAATGTCGCCTTAGGAGTTCTCTTCACTGGAACTAGGGGGTCAAGCCCAATCCCTGAAAAACAACCCCACACCATACTCCCCCCTCCACCAAACGTTACACATGGCACAATGTAGTCAGGCAAGTACCGTTCTCCTGGCAACTGCCAAACCCAGACACATCCATCGGATTGCCAGTTGTGAAGGCCACACCAAGTTTGGACGTCTTTAGCTATTGACTCTGCAGACAGTTGGCGTCTTCTGCGCACTGTGCGCTTTAGTATGCGCTGACCCCGCCCTGTCATGTGACGTGGCCTACCACTTGGTGGCTGAGTTGCTGTTTTTCCTAGTCGCTTCCACTTTGTTATAATCCCACTAACAGCTGAGTGTGGAATATTTAGTAGCCAGGAAATGTCACGGATGGGCTTATTGCACAGGTGGCCACCTATCACGGGACCACGCTTGGAGTCACTGAGCTCCTGAGAGCGACCCATTCTTTCACCAATGTTTGTAGAAGCAGTCTGCATGCCTAGGGGCTTGATTTTATACACCTGTGTCCATGGAGGGGATTGGAACACCTGAATCACATGATTTGGAGGGTGGGGCCAATATATTTGGCAATATAGTATACCTTCTATGAAAAGGCCAACTCTAAAGCCAGCTGTAGATGGTTCAAATCTTGGCCAGTTCAGCAGGGACTGCCTGAGATTTGATTCATCTATGGGCAGGCTGATTGCACCAAAGTCGATTCATCGATCAGCTTGGGTACAAGTAACACATCAGTTTTGTAGCATGCGATTACTGCCAGTGGCTATATCGGGAGTAATGGGGCTGATTTACTAAAGTTGGAGAGTACAAAATATGGGGCAGCCAATAAGCTTCTAACTTCATCTTGTTCAGTTTGGCTTTGACAATAAAACCTGGAAGCTGGTTGGCTTCTAAGCAGAGCTGCACCTTATTTTACACCCTCCAGTTGTAGCAAATCAAACCCATTGCGTTCTCTGCAAGAGGGATTCCTGTGTAAGGCATGCCAGAGATTATGCAATTATCTTTTCTACAACCATGGGTTGAAGGAAAGAAAGTCGCTTGATTCCTCTATCAACGCAGTCAGTGTTGTTGGGGGAATCCCTCCTTCGGCGCTATTATGTTCTGACAATAGGAAGTTTCCCCGTTGTCACAATACAATGATCTACGAGATGGTATCAAAAAGTTTCAAGGCAAGTTTTGTTTACGGCGATGCTGCAATGAGTCGTTTGAGTGGCACTCACGCTTCAAGAGCGGAAGAACATCACTGGAAGACGACAAGAGATCAGGAAGACCTTCAACCAGCTCAACCCTCGTCCCGAAGATGAAAATCCAGCTCAAAGATCGCCGTTTTGACAAGATTGCAGAGATCCAACGATTGGCCAAGTTTAATGCAGAAATTCAAGTTTGCTCTTTATTCTTATTTGCTGTCCATGTAGAAATAGTAGACGTCATAACGCATGTGGTCAGATTAGCACCAGTTGCACAGCTCCCGATGTACACAGGACGATGTCTTTTGGCAGACTGACTTATGGAGATTAGTGCTCTCTGTGACTGTGCGTGCAGTCTTCTGCTGCCATCTGTTGTCTCAAAATGTTTTGATACCACCTCGTATAGACACTGGAAGTGATCATTAAAAAAAAAAAAACAGGCTGGTTGTACTAAAGTCGATCTATAGATTGACTTCAGTGCAACCATCCTGCCCATAAATGGATCGAAATTTGGCCAGTACCTGCTGGGCCAACCGAATTTCTATCTGTCTACGGCTGGCATAGGATGTAATTATGAGTGGAGGGGAAGCAGTACAACCATCCTGCCCATAAATGGATCGAAATTTGGCTAGTTCTTGTTGGGCCAACCAAATTTTGATCTGTCTATGGCGGGCATAGGATGTCATTATGAGTGGAGGGGAAGCAGCACAACCATCCTGCCCATAAATGGATCGAAAGTTGGCCAGTACCTGCTGGGCCAACCGAATTTCGATCTGTCTACGGCTGGCATAGGATGTAATTATGAGTGGAGGGGAAGCAGTACAACCATCCTGCCCATCAATAGGTCAAAATTTGGCAAGTACTGCTGGGCCAACCGAATTTCAATCTGTCTATGGCTGGCATAGGATGTCATTGTGAGTGGAGAGGAAGCAGTACAACCATCCTCTCCATAAATGGATCGAAATTTGGCCAGTTCCTGCTAGGTCAACTGAATTTTGATCTGTCTATCACTGGCATAGGTTGTCATTGTGAGTGGAGGGGAAGCAGCACAACCATCCTACCCATAAATGGATCGATATTTGACCAGTACCTGCCTGGCCAACTGAATTTCGATCTATCTATGGCGGGCATAGGATGTCATTATGAATGGAGAGGAAGAATTACCATTTACCTAGAAATATGTTTTTTTTTTCCCCTACATTCCACTCACAAGGAGTTCCTGGAGCACAGCGATTGGACGATGTAGAGGTGACTTACCTTTGATGAACTTGGCCAGGGAGACCTCTTCCTTTGAATCCGGTTTATTTGTAAACGCATCCACCAGTCCAGGTTTGCTGTCCTCTGTGCCTTCACTGGTGACCTGCTGAAAAAAAAAAAATAATGCATGAAAATGTGTAGATCAATCCCTATGGAGAAAAAAATAAAAAATAGCGTCCATTCACACGTACAGAAATCCTAGATAAAGGAGAATGTCAAGGTTATTTGTCATTACTGGCGGCATTGAGTCTTCCACAACGGCCACATTACAGCATATCAGTGATTCTAATAACTGGGAGTCTGAGAGAAATGCATATTTAGAGGGAAAATTATAATAGGTTTGGGTCTGCTTTATTTTTTTATTATTATACAACATCAAGAATAAAATTAAAATAAAAATCAATAACCCAGCAATAGTAAAAAAAATAAAAAAATAAAACAAAAATTAATATCTAAAACCTTTTCACTGCCAGAGCAATTTTTTTTTTAATACACAGTTTAGGTCTGGAGATTATTTAACTCCCCCAAATAATATATATATTTTCTGAAAACAGAGACCCCGTAGAATAAAATGATGGAAGCTGCAGCACAATATTTAAACAGAATTGGTCCCACAGAGCCCTAGACACATCACTCACAACCCCAGACCATTCAGAAGCTATAATATTTATCCCCAACCTTTGGACGTGTCCTTGTAACCAATTTTCTATCCAGGTATATACACCATCATTGATGGCAACAGACCTCAATTTGTAAATTAGGCATTTATAGGATACATTGGGGAAGTCTATATACACTACATCCTTAGACCTTCCTTTATCCAAATTACAGCTCACCTCCTTATAGAATGTTAACGGGTTGGTCTGGCAAGAATGATCTTTTTATAAAGCCATGCTGGTTACTACTAATGATATTACTTTCATCAGCAAATTCTTGGATATGGTCTCTTATCATCCCCTCCGATAGTTTACATACTATTGATGTAAGGCTAACTGGCCTATAGTTTCCTGGTATGAATCTCAGCCCTTTTTTTGAATATTGGCACCACGTTATCTTTCCATCTGTCCGCTAGTACCATTCCTGTCGGTAAACTGCCCTTAAAGATTAGGTAAAGGGGTTTAGCAATGACCTGGCTAAGTTCTTTGTGTTCTCTCGGGTGTAGTCCTTCTGGCCCTGGTGATTTGTTCACATTACGTTTTTCATGTCAAGAACACTGGTCTCTGTTAGCCACAAGGGTACACTCCTTGCTGTGTTGCTAATTCTATCGTCTTGCCTATTATACCCTTCATCAGGGATGGACTGACAACTCATGGGGCCCCCGGGCAATAGGGGATCATGGGGCCCCTGTGTCCTTGCCCAAACTCAAAAAAGCCTTTGAAAAAGGTACCAGGGGCATCTCATGGGGCCCCCTACTGACCCCGGGCCCTCGGGCAGTGCCCGAGTTTCCAAATGGTCAGTCTGCCCCTGTTATCAAGTTCACATTTTCAGTAAAACATATCTTGAATTTCAGTGCACAGAAACACAATATTTTACACAATTTTTAAGCAACATCTAACAGATGAGATTGGAATGAGTAAATAGACACCAAAACACGTCAAGCCCCAAATTGCACATGCACAGGGGAAAACTATGGTACCCACCATAAAATACAGTAGTTAGGTCGGAAAAAAAAAGACACAAGTCCATGTAGTTCAAGCAATAGGAAAAAAAAAAAAAATGAAATAGAATAAATACAAAACCTCCATATACAGAATCCTATACCCGCCGCTGATCTGTCCCACTGGGAAATGAATGCTGATTTTTTTTTTTTACTTTAATTTTTTTATTATTTTTTATTTATTATTTATTTTATTGCTATTACAACATAGTCATAGTGCAGGGGACAGGATCTCTTTAAGGAGTCATCCGAGGTCTAATAGACCCCCAATGCCATCCCCTGCACTCTTTGGAAGCCAGTCAAGCACAGATTCTGCTTAATTAGCATCTTTTACAGCTGTGAACCTGGAAGTGCCTAGAGTTGAGCGTTCCCACGTTCACACTGCATACGGAAAATCAGCAAACCACATGGGGAAAAAAATGTGAATATCTTTGTTTATGTGAGGCACTGTTGATGACATAGCAAAAGGGTTCATTCAAAGAGGTCCACCCGCAGTAATGACTTTTGGCCACTAGTTGTCCTCAGTCTTCCAATTTATTTAAAGGAGCACTCCATATATATATATATATATATATATATTAAAAAAAAAGCATATAAAATTGCTACACGAGCTAGAGCTCACAATAATCTTGCACTGACCGACGTGCACGTGCCATTATATGAGAGCTGTTCAGTGTAGCAGTAGGGACCACCCACTGCAGAAGGAGAAGAGGAAGGACCCATGACTTACCAGAATACCCTTGGAAATAAGTAATTTTTGTAAAAAAAATTTTTTTTAAAGATATTTTAAAAGATTTTTTTTTAACTCTTTTAGCTCTCGTATCTTTATACTCTTTATGGACCAGAGCATTTTAAAAAAATGTACAGTGGGAATGTTTTTTTTAAGATGTCTTAGTTTTTACTCACTAATGCAGACCATAGACGGGTCAAAAATCAGATTTTTCGGCCGGAAAAAAAAATCGGCTGATTTTCGCACACCGTTAGTGGGTTAATTGGTCGGCCGTTTTTCGGGATTTTGGCACATTTTTTTTATCGCTGAAGTTAGAAAATAATCAGCTAATTTTGCCGATCGGCCGATTTTCCTGGCAATGATGGGCAAATCGGGCAATCTTTTTACCGATAAAAAATCTGCGCATGAGCCGTCACCTGCAAGAAGAAGAAAAAGAAGAAGAAAAGAAAAATAATAAGAAATTCAGTCCGCTATTATATTTGACATGAAAAAGTATTGCAGTTGCAACAATGTATCTATTTGTATCCAAATAAAAACATATGTATCCGAAATGGATACAAAATGGATACATTGTAGCAACCCCAAGACTTTTTCATGTTAAATATAATAGCAGAGATCTCTGCAGGGACAGATATAATTAAATGCCGGCCGTAGACGGGATGAAAATCGGACAATTTTTATTACCAATGGTGGTAACATCGGCCTATTGAACGACCGACTTTTCATTTTTTTTAAAAAAAAAACGGCTGTTTTTTTTCGACCCGTCTATGGCCTGCATTAGTGTCACTAAACCCACATAATAAAAAAAAGAGAAACTATCGATAAATGCCGTATTACATGCTGTTCACACTCACTCAGTCACTATGAGTTTTGTTTTCTGTATGCTGCAAAAAACCTGGTTGATCCTGCTGTGTTCTATCTCCCCCTCCTGTCCATGTCCCCCGATGCAGTCGGGGGATTTTTCAGCTGTGGTGGCAACTCTGCACATGCTCAGTTTTCAGTGAGTTTCTATGCTGAGCATTTCCTCACTTTTTTTTATTATGTTTTAATTTTCACTAGTAATGGCGGCGATCGGTGACTTATAGTGGGACTGCGGCGGGCATTCTGACACGGGGGGGGGACTGACTGATTTGGTGTCACTGACATCCCCAGTGACACCAATACAGTGATCAGTGCTAATAAAAAGCACTGACGCTGTACTAATGGCAATGGGCAGGGAGGGGTTAACATCTGGGGCGATCAAAGGGTTAACTGTGTGCTGTGTGTGTTTTACTGTCTGCTGTGTGTTTCATTGTAAGCACACTGTTTTGTGTGGCTCTGCTATGCTGAGCCATATAAAGCAGTGTGCATAAGGGGACAGGGGAGAGAACTGTATTGCTTACATACAGTTCTCTCCCTCCGTCGGTAATGCTCCTGGATCACTGGGTACCGGCGAGTAATCACCGGCCGGGAACCAGTGATTGACAGCCGAAGCCGCGAATAGTGGCGTGGGTAGGGTGACGCATGGCTCACACGCCACCCTACCCAGAAGTGCTACATGAGGTACATATATGTGATTTTGCACACTGGTATAGGGCGGGCGGGGGAAGCGGTTATAAAGCGATTATAAACATAGGACATATCTCCTATGTTTATAATCCTCTAGTTGTTAAAGAGGAACATTACTCCTCCCTTTGGTCCCCTGAGTAAGCAATGATGTCAGAAGTGATATCTTGCTTACTACTCTGCATGTGATCACTGATTGGCCAATCAGTGATCACATGATCGGGACCTCGCACAGAGGTCCGGGACGACGATCAGTGTTCCACTGTGTCCCAGGGAGCGCGCACAAGCAGGGGGCTGGGAGACCGTTTATAAACGACCACCCTCCCCGGCACTGCCACCGTCCAGCCGTTAGGGTGACAGTATGTAAAAAAAAAAAAAAAAAAACATACATACATACATAATAATAGAAAAAAATAAAATAATAATGTAAAAAAAAAGTTTTACATTTATTTTTTGGTTATAAACTAATTTGGGTTATTTTTTTTTTTTTACTAAAAAGATAACGGAATAAATTTTGGCCAAGATTTATGATGAAATATTATTTATTTGCAAGAGAAAAAATTTTTTTTTTTTCAAAATGTTTGGGACTTTTCATTTACATAGCAAAAAAAAAAATAAAAATCCCAGTGGTGAATAAATACCACCAAAATAAAGCTTCATCTGTCTCAAAAAAATGGTAATAAGACCATATGGGTACAGTGTTGCATGACCACGCAATTGTCATTCAAAGTGTGCTAGCGCTGAAAGCTGAAAATTGGCCTGGACTGGAAGGGGGTGAAAGTGTCCGGACTGGAAGGGGGTGAAAGTGTCCGGGCTGGAAGGGAGAAAAGTGTCCGGACTGGAAGGGGGGGAAAGTGGCCAGACTGGAAAGGGGTAAAAGTTTCCGGACTGGAAGGGGGGAAAAGTGTCCGGACTGGAAGGGGGTGAAAGTGTCCGGACTGGAAGGGGGTGAAAGTGTCCGGACTGGAAGGGGTGAAAGTGTCCGGATTGGAAGGGGGGGGGGAAGTGTCCGAACTGGAAGGGGGTGAAAGTGTCTGGACTGGAAGGGGGGGGGAAGTGTCCGAACTGAAAGGGGTGAAAGTGCCCGGACTGGAAGGGGTGAAAGTGTCTGGACTGGAAGGGGGGGAAAGTGTCCGGACTGGAAGGGGGG